TACGCTGACCCAGTTGTCTTGGAGTAGATAGGCGTAACCCACACTTTACTCCACATGCCGTTCGATTAACTGTGGTTGTGCCCTTTTGACACTGCTGGGTGGACAACGACGAGAGAGATTTCAGAAACTTGCACCTTTGTTTTTAATCGAACTGACAACTGATGGATTACAAGTCCAGTTCGTGAACCATTGCACTATAATGGCAACCCATAAATACAGGGGTGATCCATTTACAGACACCCCATCATGATGATAATCGGGAGCATGATGGAGAAAATTACATTTTATTTCCAAGTCTCGACACGTCTCCCACAAACTCTCAGTACACACATTAAATATTGTAATGCTCTGCTCTGTAATTTAAGGAGCCTTCACTTTTACACTGTTCACATCACCTGTTGGGAAGGAAGTAAGTGGGCTATCAGAAATCAGCGGGGTGTCTATAAAGGGCTCACTATATATATAACTCCAACATAACCTATTTTTGCAAGCACGATTCGTCGTATGTATTGCGAGCAAAGCGACCGCATTTTAATCGACAAATCCAGGCACATGTTTTGTGAGCCGAATGGTACACAGCTTATCTATTTGACCTTTCGAGGCAAGCCTGGTCGACCCTTCGTGACATTGACCGTGAAATCCCATGACCCCTGCGTGATCCTATAGCACCTCTTTGTGCTCGGTGTTAAAGTCAACTGAGCAATCGCACCATGCTCATCTTTACGCTTTGGTTCTTTCGGTAAAAGTCACGTGGGTTTTAAAATAAAATAAATTAAATCACGACGTTTCGATTGCAACACAAGCAATCATCATCGGGTGCTCATCTCTGTTGGCAGCTTTGGTGCAGTGGGAGAAATGTCCACATTTACACAGCGGGGGCCAGCCGCTCCGCAGAACACAGGCTGTGGATTGCTCACCAAGTGATCATCAACATCATCATTATCAGCTATGTTCGTCAATCCACTGCCGGATGAAGGCTTCCCGAAGTCATCACCATCTCTCACGATTTCGAAGTGCGACAATCCGCGCGGCACCTCCACACAAACGGATTTCGTCGCTCCATCTCCTCCGGCGGAACGTATTTCCCGGAACCGTTCCAATCATCGGCTGCCACACGGCCACAATTTTTTGACCGTCGTCTGTCGCGGTCGCCCTTCGAGCGAGGTGCCCTGCCCTGCCCAAAAAACCCACTCATGAGTTCGAATGACGTCTTGCGCTTGCCCACGAGTTCCGCTTCGTGCGTTGTTCATCTTTCTGCAGGAGGAGACGAGAGAGAGAGAGAGCCGTCAATTCTCGCCGGACAGATCGCGAGCACGGCATTGCGTGCGTGGGCCCAGGCAAGCAATTTACCCCGGGCCCAGAGGGCACGGCGGGTGCCGACGCGGCGGCGATGATCGTTTAAAGGTCGGCAAAGCAAAGACAAAATTCGCTTCGGCACTTCTCGTGAGGCCTTGCGGGGCGAGCGAGCGAGCGACTCAGCATGGTGGGCTCAGCGTGGGTTGTGCGAGGCGCGCGCCCTTTTCAGACGAAGCCCACCGGCTCCTCTTCATCGTCCTCCTCCTCGTCGTCCTCCTCCTCCTCATCGTCGTCCTCCTCCACGTCGTCGTCCCTACAGACGGTCGCGCCAGCAACGGGGCTTGTAGCTTATGTTATAAAGGGGCCCTAACTAAAAGAAAAATACGTAAATATAAAAAAACATATTTTTTACTTGCGTTGTAAAGTAATTGTATTTTTTCATTTGCTATACAGCCAGATAATACGACAAATCGCTAACCTTAAACACCCAGTCGTTCATAAAAGTTGAAGGCGGTATAGTACTATAGTACTACTACATATATAGTAGCTACTACTATATATATACATATATAGTAGTAGCTACTACATATGTAGTAGCTACTACTATATATGTAGCAGCTACTACATATGTAGCTAATGTAGCTACTGTTGCTACTACGATAATCCGGCACTGGTTCACCCCTCGCAGTGAACGCGGGTTCGCGCTTCTGTGTCAGGCACCTGGAGATGGTGCGGCTCAGCCCCATGCATCATCCCCTCCAGGGATAATTAAACAAAATCGCCGCAACTGTTTGTTGTTGTTGCTGTTGTTGTCGTTGCAAGTCGCCGATTGTTTTGCACAATATAGAGACTGGTCCTAACCATAAGAATGTGGAACTTCTACAATTACCTAAAGAGCACCACTCAGTGTTCATTTAGCCAGGCCACCTTTACTGATTGCACTGTCCTGGTAAAACAAAAGAAAATGAAACAAAAAATGAGAGTCTGGGAACGTGCATCGTGTTTTTTTTAAAACAAAGTATCTGCATTAATAGAGATTTTTTTTGGGTTAGATCGCGAATTTACGTGTATTTATGCCATCTAACTAAAAAAAAACTATACTATGGATATCGGTCGCGAAAGTCTACGTGTTAAACTATCTGCATTAATTTCTCATTAATTTAGTTTGACGACTGAGCCAGCAAATAATGGCCTCCCATTACAAATGATGATGTCAAAGCGTCTTCAACTCGAGTCAAGGAGGTGGAACGTGCAGAGTTAATTCACCACGTGGAACGTGCATTGAGATTATTTAGATTATTTTGTATTCTTTGGGTCTTTCGGTAAAGCCACGTAGATAGAAGAAAAAATAATAACAATATCACCAAGTTTCGATCGCGACACAAGCAATCGTCTTCAGCTGAGGCAGGCTGTTTATAAAGGCTTAGAGATGGGCGGGGCAGCTCATGTTAATGTAGGAGCGAGTGGGAGAGAGCGAGTTGGAGTGATACATTTGCTTGTAAATGTGAGCTCGGCGAGGGCCAAGCTCGGCTAGGGCCCGGAAATTTGGTGCCATAAATGTCCAAATGATGGGGCCACTTTGTTGAGCAATCATTTGCGGCCAGGACGCTTCTGAAAAAATACGTTCATACCTCAGTGGGCTTTGCCTGGTAGGGTGGGGATTGTTTAGTGTTGTCTCTGTATGTTGCTTGGATTTGTTCACCTTTCTTGTGATTTTCACTACAATCGTCTTTTTGTAACTGTTTGTTGTTGTTGTTGTAGAGTTCTTACCCCGTGCCCCTACTGGACATCTGTAAAAAAAAATAAGAGCTTTATAGCTCATCGGATTCTTCCAGTATAAATATTCTGATTGTGATGTGTTGTCATCAAAAAGGCAGCAAACGGGATCCCGGTCCATCCGCGCAGATTTCAAGTTTGTTCATCGCCGCCTCGGTGTGGCGTGGCATTTATTCGGGGCCACACCAATTTCCTTCGGCGCATGCAATCCTAATGATCGTTGTCACCACCACAACGCACCACCACCACCCCTTGAGAGTGAGCGTGGACATCAGGGTAAATGAAGGAATATTATTCCCCGTAGTTGAAACGGTCAAATTAGCCGTGGTGTTTTGTTGTATTCGCTATACCTCCTCCCAATGATGCGATAATTACCTGACAAATATAACAACTCCCAGAATTCTCATTAATATAAATAATTGTTCCGTTTAACGTCTTCCTCGGGGAGTCTAGTTTAAAACGGTACCTCGGGGCGAGGGTGATGTTATTACTCGCAGTTGCAATGCATTCAACATGCACTGCAGGTAATTGCCTTCTAATACTCCACAGGAATCGCATTACATAACGTAACGCGAGCCTTCAAATGTCAATGGAGTGTCAGATCTCTGTAACTTAACTTTAATTGTTTACTTTCGAGATAAACAGAGAGCATTTTAACACCCCTGTCCTGTATCTGTGTGTGTGTGTGGGGGTGTGTGTGGAGACTAGAAGCCAATTAACAGACTTTCAACAGGAACAATGCGTTACAAGTTACGCAACTAAGTTACGGAACATCACAGGTTGTTTTATTCACGGTTAAAAACTGATTCGCTCAGGAGACAGGCGCTGTAGCTGCGGAGACGGCTATATAGTACAGTGTGGTATAGGAGTCATTTCATTTTATAGATCGTCATTCGTGCAATTGCATCGCACAACGCTGCATATCAATGATCCAATTTACGTACACAGATAATACAAAAACAAAAACCCCACTACTAAGCAAATACAAAAAAATGAATACGTAAGTAATGAGAAGAAAGTGCATGTAACAAGAAAACAAATAATCGCAGGGAAAATAAATGACGGTGGGCTGAAGCAGTAACTTAGTTGGCGCGTTTTGTTTACGTGATAAACCTAATTGGCTGTGGCGGGTGGCGGAGGGTTACGACACATCTCTACTTACGCGATCTAACCCAAAAACAATTATTATGAATACTATTTATGGTTTATACTGGTAGGAACGAAGTTGTAAACTCAGTGTACCAGCCTGCAATAGATTAATGTGTCCGTCCCCTTTCAATACTTTAACGAAGTGAAATCTCGTGCTGTTGGGTGTAAAATCAGCAATAGACAGCGTAGAGACTTGTCCTACCAGCCCACCCTGCAGGGACCTGTTTTACATGGAGTGACCTGCTTACCCCTTTATTTTACACTGCTACCATTCCTTAGGAGTCTGCTGCTGCTGTGTGCGCCGGATAGCGAGCGAGCGCTGGCCGGAACGAGCGACCTACTCGTACCGCATTTGCAAATGTGTTTCGTAACGTTCATCCTGACCCATGTATTGATACTTCAAATGTGAAATCTTTATTGAGGGACTCTGTGTGGTCTGGGACTAATTTGAAGCTGGGTCGAACTAGGGGAGGCCCAGGACCGATTCAGATAATTGTCACTGGTGTTCGCCGTGAGCGGGAATCAAACTCGGCTCGCCAGGTTCGTAGCGCAGCGCGCTAACCGCTACACTACCGCTCCACATAACATGACGCACGACACATGACACATGCAATGTCAAACAAAACTGAATCCTTGACTAAATATGATCAAAGAGGCCGAGCCTTCAGGAGAGAGAGGGTTTAGCGCCTCCTCCCTCCCCCCGTGCCCAAAGCGATGCCCGCGAGGGCCGAGCCGCAACGTCATCAAACGTTCGTGCCGCGGTCCGAATTGCGCAAAATCGCCCCCGGGCAGCCGCCGTAGCACGTCGAGAAGCAACCACGGGCACCACGTGGGTCGATCGACGCGTCGCGTTTCGCGATCGCCTCGAGAGTCTGTGCGGCGAACGTGGCCGCCGACAAGAGCCGAGGAGGACCCCGGCAGAAACTTGTGGCGGGAGGAGGCTGCTGGCGGGGACCACCGGATGGCGTGAGTCAGGTTTATTGGCGAGACTCGGATGTCGAATCGCAACGGGGTGACGGACGTCGGGGGGGGGGGGGTAGGGTGGCGGGGCGTCGTGAACGTGCACAGGGGGGCTATCGGCGCGCGCCAACTCGCCTCTGCCTCTTCAAACTCCACGTGGCCCCCGTCGAAGCCACGTCTGAGTTTTTCCCCAACCAAGATGAGCCAGCGACGCTGAGGCGGCTTCCAAGGACCCATCGGGAAATGTTGCCATGGGAGGTGGGTGGGCGAATAGGTAAGACGGGCAGGCGGGCGGGCGGGCGGGCGAGTGGGTAAGTATTTGAAGTGACAAATGATGGATGTTGAGTTGAGTGCACATGTCATCGGCTAGATGAATCAGCCTCGTGATGAATTGTTGAGGCGCCAGCTCGTGTAGAGTTTCCCGCCGTGCGAGTTCCAGGAAGGCATTGCTCATTTCATGACATGACGATGCTGACAGCATCAGTGGAATACAACTGGGAATGACTTCTCATAAACAAAACCACGCGAATAATAACGTGTGCGCTGCAAGGGACATCCGCACACAACACAGACAAAGACCACTCACCCCCCGTATAGCCTTAACAGGCTGTAGGGGCACAGATTCACTCATTCGTGCACCATTGATTCGTTACAGGTCACGGACATGCAGGGGGAACCTACAGCTCATGGCCTATGACCGGCCCACGACTTCATTTCGTACGACCCACGGCCACGCGAGGCCCTCCGCTTTAGCGTCATGGCCCAGCCACAACGGAACCGCGACCCGACATCGGCGACGGAGTCTGCGGGACCACAAGCCAGCGCGAGTGGGTCTCCTTCGCGTTGCTGGGTATCGCTGCGAGGGGGCGTGCCTTAGCGTGTGGCCCGCTAAAGGCATCAGAAAAACAACATTTTTTGGTCCCGAGTTAGGAAAAATAATCTGCAGCCCTGGGTTGAGATGCGTTACTTGTGCAAGTTCCCTCGTTCATGAAACCACCAGCGCAAATCTGTAACTCCGGCACTCACCACGAGCAATCCATTGTGTGTTGGCTGCTCAAAATCCACCCGCATTTCCATGAATTCACGTTCATCGATGTGACGGCATGTATTTGATGTGGTTTGCACTTTCTAAATTGTTCCCCGTGTCCATATCCGACCACGAATTATGGGCGCGTGCATGAGTCTGTGCGTGTTTGTGTGTGCGTGTTTTCTTTGCGGCACGCACTGGTCATATTATTGGTTTACGTGAAGTCCACTGGGCGCTGTCGGCATCGTCTTGTCATGAAATAAGAAGTGAACTTCGTGGAAGTCGCATAGCGAGTGGGCCAGCCGAGTAAGGCAAAACGGGTGCCAGAAGATGAACTCACAAAGGCGCTCCTTGAATCACTTCCGAGTGACACTCGCGACTCGAGAGGCCACGAAAATCCACCACGTGAATGTTCACAAACTGCTCAGAGCCACCACTGGAGATGCAGCACTTGACTTTGATTTGAATCCAATAATGCGAGATGGCGCGCCGCCGTGTTCCACAAAGACTGCTCGTCACGCGACGCACCAAATAGAGCATCCTCGCAGCAGGAATTATCCCAACTACGCAACATGCCGTACAGTGAGGGAAAAAAGTATTTGATCCCCTGCTGATTTTGTACGTTTGCTCACTGACAAATAAATGTTCAGTCTATAATTTTAATGGTAGATATATTTGAACAGTGAGAGACAGAAAAACAACAAAATCCAGAAAAACGCTTGACAAAAATGTTATAAATTGATTTGCATTTTAATGAGGGAAATAAGTATTTGACCCCCTCTCAATCAGAAAGATTTCTGGCTCCCAGGTGTCTTTTATACAGGTAACGAGCTGAGATTAGGAGCACACTCTTAAAGGGAGTGCTTCTAATCTCAGCTTGTTACCTGTATAAAAGATACCTGTCCACAGAAGCAATCAATCAATCAGATTCCAAACTCTTCACCATGGCCAAGACCAAAGAGCTCTCCAAGGATATCAGGGACAAGATTGTAGACCTACACAAGGCTGGAATGGGCTACAAGACCATTGCCAAGCAGCTTGGTGAGAAGGTAACAACAGTTGGAGCGATTATTCGCAAATGGAAGAAACACAAAAGAACTGTCAAAACACAAAACTGTCAAAACACAAAAGAACTGTCAATGCAAGATCTCACCTCGTGGAGTTGCAATGATCATGACAACGGTGAGGAATCAGCCCAGAACTACACGGGAGGATCGTGTCAATGATATCAAGGCAGCTGGGACCATAGTCACCAAGAAAACAATTGGTAACACACTACGCCGTGAAGGACTGAAATCCTGCAGCGCCCACAAGGTCCCCCTGCTCAAGAAAGCACATATACATGCCCGTCTGAAGTTTGCCAATGAACATCTGAATGATTCAGAGGACAACTGGGTGAAAGTGTTGTGGTCAGATGAGACCAAAATGGAGCTCTTTGGCATCAACTCAACTCGCCGTGTTTGGAGGAGGAGGAATGCTGCCTATGACCCCAAGAACACCATCCCCACCGTCAAACATGGAGGTGGAAACATTATGCTTTGGGGGTGTTTTTATGCTAAGGGGACAGGACAACTTCACTGCATCAAAGGGACGATGGACGGGGCCATGTACCGTCAGATCTTGGGTGAGAACCTCCTTCCCTCAGCCAGGGCATTGAAAATGGGTCGTGGATGGGTATTCCAGCATGACAATGACCCAAAACACACGGCCAAGGCAACAAAGGAGTGGCTCAAGAAGAAGCACATTAAGGACCTGGAGTGGCCTAGCCAGTCTCCAGACCTTAATCCCATAGAAAATCTGTGGAGGGAGCTGAAGGTTCGAGTTGCCAAACGTCAGCCTCGAAACCTTAATGACTTGGAGAAGATCTGCAAAGAGGAGTGGGACAAAATCCCTCCTGAGATGTGTGCAAACCTGGTGGCCAACTACAAGAAACGTCTGACCTCTGTGATTGCCAACAAGGGTTTTGCCACCAAGTACTAAGTCATGTTTTGCAGAGGGGTCAAATACTTATTTCCCTCATTAAAATGCAAATCAATTTATAACATTTTTGACATGCGTTTTTCTTTTTTTTGTTGTTGTTGTTGTTATTCTGTCTCTCACTCTTAAAACAAACCTACTATTAAAAATATAGACTGATCATTTCTTTGTCAGCGGGCAAACGTACAAAATCAGCAGGTGATCAAATACGTTTTTCCCTCACTGTACCTTGCCTGGTATACAGGAGATCGTGGGTTCGATCCCGACCCTGACCATGTCAGTATATTTGGAATCTGCATGTTCTCCCCGTGGTCGCGTGGATTTCTCCGGGTCCTCCACTTTCTCCCTCCACATTTAGAAACGTGCGTTTATGCTATCTGTCTGCTATACATTTCCACGTGATAAGCCACATTGTTGAGCTATCAGTTGTGGCCAGGTCGCTTATGGAAGAAAAAAAACCCAGCTATATATAGCTCAGTGGGCCTTACCTGGTCAAATTTTAAAAAAAGTTTCTTGTTTTATAGTCACTGAGAAGCAGCCAAACTACTTCTGAGCCACGCAGCTGCAGAGTAACACGATTGGGCTCGTAAGAGGCAGTACAGCAGTTTGGTTTGTAAAATTGATGATCTCTGTGCAGTGACAAATTATTTGAGGATGAACTGGCTAATCATCCCAAGCAGCGACTCTCATGGGTTTCAGCAAAGCACATTCTGAAAATACAGGATGAAATATGTACGTGAAATTAAACTACTTTAAATTCACGTATTGCTTTCATTACTTGCTTTTATAAACCCACGTTTGATATCTAACCTCTGCTGCAATAGATAAAAAAACTGGGCCATATTATTCTTACATTTTTCTTCCTTCAAATTTCAGGGTCTTTCCAAGAAAGCTCACGGCAGAAATCTGTCCCTGGCGACAGTCAAAGTGGACGGCTTCGACTCCCTTGCCCTGCAGTCTCCATTCACCCATTGGCCAAACCGGTCCACCTTGCTGCGAACACGCAACGGCGGCGTTTTTCTTATTAGCGAATCGCTACGCAGTCGCTGCCCCTCCCCCCCACACACAGGATAAGCGCGTGTATGTGTACCTATGGACGCGCGCGTGTGTGTTTGGGAGGAGCGGTAGTGTAGTGGTTAGCGCTACGCTGCGCTACGAACCCGGCGACCCGAGTTCTATTCCCGCTCACGGCCACCACCGGTGACGATTATTTGAACCGGTCCTGGGCCTCCCCTAGGTCCACTCAGCCTCAAACGAGTAACTGCTGTGGTGTGTGAACATCGCCACTGGGGGGACAAAGGCGGCCGGGCGTGGTGAATCCAAGTCCCGGGCGAAGCCGGGTAGTAAAGCTAGTCTCTATATATATAGATGATGACGGTCGTGAGGTGGCCTGTTGCGTGTTCCGACCGCGGGGACAGCCACGCCGCTTGTCAGTGCTGTGGCCGAAATTGTAATCCGTGCATAGCCGTGGGACAGGGGGGGGGGCGGGTGGGTGAGTTGGGGGAGCGTTTCCACTCTCGATCACCGCTCCGAGGGTTAACGCTTTGCCACCCAACAACAAACTGGCGGCGCACGATTGGCCGGTGGGTCACTCACGGACTTTATATATTTTATTATCCGGGCCAATAGCGGAGAATGGGCAGCCTTATCTGCATTCCACGTGCTCGTGGAATGCGCTTGTTGTCGATCAGCTGGGGGAGCAGTGGACAATTACGCGGCGCTTGCCCATGCAACCACTCTTAGGGTTTAAACAATTAAGTTCGAGGATTCTCTCCCCAGGCGATCAGTGCCGGACTATTCTAGTAGCACAAGTAGTAGCTAAGGGCCCTGCACTTTCAAGGGCCACGCGCTAAATGATTTCAAGCTATCAATTCCGGTTCAGTGATTCTGCACTCGCTCTATTACTATAGTACTATACCGCCTTCAACTTTTATGAACTACTGGGTGTTTAAGGTTAGCGATTTGTCGTATTATCTGGCTGTATAGCAAATGAAAAAATACAATTACTTTACTACGCAAGTTAAAAATTTGTGTTTTAATATTTATATGTTTTTTAATTATTATTTAGGGCCCCTTTATAACGTATGCTACAAGCCCCGCACTAGCTTCATCCGGCACTGCAGGCGATACAAATTAATCGTGGGTAGGGGCCGTCCATAAATGACGTCACGCGATTTTGGACGATTTTGACCCCCCCCTCGTCACACGGCGTCACAAAAAGTCAGACCCCCCCCCTCAAATATGACGTCACAAAGCTCTGCCGCCCCTCCCCCCCAAATCATATTTCCATTTTGAAAATAAAACATGCTTCAAATCACTTTAAACTATTGTCATTGTTGTGCGTATTTAATATGGCGCTGCACTCTGATGTTGTAGGATGAAACATTTATTAAAACGTCTATTTAATTAAGTAGAACGTTTCGATTTAAAGCTTTCGTGACTGCAAGGATTCATCTTCTTTGGTTCTTTCGGTAAAGTCACGTAGAATGAGAATAAAACAATAAAATAATAAAATAAAATAACACAATAAAATTCTCACGACGTTTCGGCCACAACACAAGCAGCCTTCTTAAGGTGAAAGAACAGAACTGTCGGGACGACAGAGCTTCAATTTTAATGTGTTGTTTTATTTGTTTTATTCTCATTCTACGTGACTTTACCGAAAGAACCAAAGAAGATAAGTAAAACGTGTTGTCTATATTTAAAGTTGCGCATTTTGACGTGACGTCACATTTCTCACCCCCCCCCCCCCCCTCGTCACACATCGTCACAAATGTCTGACCCCCCCGCCCAGGTGCGTGACGTCATTTATATGCGGGCTCCTGTGGCTCCACCCCCTTTGGTGGAGATGCAATGCCGTTGAGCATTGGCGGAGTTTGGAGACCTTTATAAATTTAGTTTCAGTAGTTTACAATTAAGATAGATAAAAAATACATTACATGCACCCGCGATTCCTCATGTGAAGGACAAAGCGAATCTCTGCCCCGCCCCCCCCCCTCCCCCAAATATAGAAGTCAAACTCCGCCGATGGTGGGGGGGGGGGGTGACATCACAGATCCTATTATCCGCGATATTATCCGCGAATTTACTCCACTTATCGGTATACGACTAGACCCGCAATAGGATGAAATCGGCTACGGATTCCGCTTTTGCAATAAAAAAAGACGTGACGGACGACTCTGCCTGCGCCGGGTGAGGGTCCCGCACGGCGCCCCATCCACGCCGGATGAGCACGACGAGCGGTGGGTGCGCGATGCACGTGGATTCAACGAGGATCTCTCTCCCTCCCCGCACCCCACGTGCCACTCAAGCGAACCTTGTGCGGCACTCATCTCTGTAAGTTATCAAAAAATGTGAAAAAAAATGTGTTATTTTTTTTTGTATGTTAAAAATAAAATTAGCAGGCAAGGCACACTGACCAATATTGCACAATGCGTTTATATGAACCTTAGTGTCTTTCATGAATAATATTGGTCGCGAAAGCCTACGTGTTAAAGTGACCTCTTTGTTTGATTGTCTTGAAACAATGCTGCTTAAACTTTAAACATTTTTTTTTTAACCGGGTCAGGCCCCACTGAACCCGATAGCTGTTTTTCAGAAGCGACCTGGCCACAAATGACAGCTCAACCACGTGGCTCATCACCATCACGTGGAGATGTACAGCAGCCAAATACTCTAAACGCGTGATGTTGATTCTAAACGTGAAGGGAAAAACGGGAGGACCCGGAGAAAAATCCACACAACCATGGGGAGAGACGCACGCAAACTCCACACATATAGACGTCAGGGTCGGGATCGAACCCACGTCCTCCCACCGTGGCGCCTCATCTCTACAGGGGGCCCCTGAGCTCCTCGTAGAAGTTCTACGCCCCTATTCGTGGGGACCAGTGTGTCCACAGGACAATGTTTGTTGGTAAATGTACATCTGCACGTTGAACTTCCTTTACACCATCTTACGTAGCGAACCGTGCTAACCGGAGATGCGGGGGGAAGGACAACAAACTAAACACAACAAGCAGCTCTACACTACGCAGCCGATTAAAATACTGCTTGGGAGTGGTAAAGGTAAAGCTGCAGCCCTGCAATTGCTCGCTGACACCACTGCTGCCTGAAGAGCCTCTAGAGAAGCTGGGATTACCCCACACTTTAACCCACCGCATGCGACCTGCCAATTGACAAGACCATGAGATGTCAACGGTGGTCGGCGCTCTCTCGACAAGTGTTGACAACTCACAACATGGTACATCGTTTTATTGACCACGGCGCGTGGGATGGGTGGGTTGGTGGGTCGAGCTGACCTCTGACCAGGATACAAACTCACAACCTGAACGATTGTGACTTGATCATTCTGTTCACGCCATCCGACCATTACGCAGTGTTTGGGGGGGAAGCACATTATGGTAAATTGTTTCCATAACGAGCTATATAACTAACACAATCACTCGCTTCATTAAAATGCGATTTGGCCACCTGTAGTTAAGATGCGTCGTCGTTGCAGCTATTTAACAATTGTCTGCGGAAGTCAATTGCCGAAGCCTCGGTAGGTAGCCTCTGCGGGTTTTTTTTTCAGCGAGAGGCTGATTGAATATTGATTGAGAACAATTCTAATCCACGCGATTACAAAGACTCTCACCGGTGATAATAACGCAACAAAAATGCGATCAATTACTGTTGGCCAAATAGCTCAGCGGTAGAGCGAGGGCGGCTCGCAACGTCGAAGTCTGCGAGTTCAAATCCCGACCAGGGGGGTTGACTCAGCCTCATTGTCCCTCCGGAGGGTCAACGCAATGACCTCACCACTCTCTGGGAAAGTCAAGAGCGGTTGCAGCCCTGTGGATAGTCTCGTTCGACCGCAGGAATATGAAGCCATACCACCACTGGCTCAAGGCTGTTAACGTCAGATAAGCAACCACCTCGATGCACATTGCTTCAACAATTTTTCGTGATCAAGCACTGTAATTAACAATAATGACAGCATTACTCTTGTTTACCACCCATGACAGCCTCACTGACTCTCATGACCCTTCTTTCACGAGGGTCCCGTCAAATCTTCTTTGGTCCTTTCGGTAAAGTCACGTAGAATGAGAATAAAATAATAAATTGATAAAATATGCTTGCAAAATTGTTCAATTCGAATTGAGTCATTTGCAGGGGTACATTTCCAGCATTGGGACGTATGGCCAATACCGGTTACACCAGACGTGGGCAAAGTACAGCCCCCGGGCCGTATACGGCCCGTTGGGCTTTTTAATCCGGCTCGTCGAACTTGTCCAAATATTATTATTTAATTAAATTTTACCTTTCTCCTGTAATGCCCCCATTTCCCCATTAGATGGCGCACTTTGACCGGGAGTGTGGTAATAGGTTTGGTCGCAGGCCTCAGATGTTTTCATGCTGTTTGATCAGTCACGTTACAACATGTTTTTGTATTGTTCATGTTCGTGCAATTTGTTAAATTGCCTTGCAAATAAATGCTTTGCTACCTGTTAAAGGCCAAATCCTTTCATGTAATGATTTTTACACGTCATTTATATTAGTTCACACAAACACTCCATCCATCTGTTCCTGGCCCGGCCCCTCTGTCAAATTTCATAACCCATTGTGGCCCGCGAGTCAAACGATTTTCCCACCCCTGGGTTACACTGTACTTTTTTTTCTAGCTATGGGAGGAAGCTGGATAACCCAGAGGAAACCCATGCAGAACAGGGAAAGAGAACACACAGACTCTAGAGAGAAGGGCTCCCGAGTCATGAATCGAACCAAGGTGCTTCTTGCTGTGCACGAGTGTTACCAAACTGCATCACCCTGCCACCCGAGCACTTCTTAGAACGTCACACACTTTTAATCAAACACCTCCACGCATGCTGCTTCCGATAGCGAGCACCGAGACCGCGTGAAGCTTCCCCTGGTAAATAACTTACGATGATCACAAATGCTTCCCCGTGCATTAATGTATTTTGTTATCACTCTGAATGATTATCACGGGTAGGAAATGAAAGTGCACATCAAAGCCAAAATCGCATATTTACCGTGCGCAGTTTAAAATCAAACAAAGTTTGGAGAAACCACTTCATCTTCCTGGACGTCATTTCTGAACAGCTGTGAAAAAAATAC